AGCATTCATTGTAATGCTACATAGCAATAAAAACATCCAGTTAGCAAATAAACATACAAAATGCTCAGCACCACAAGTCACTGGGGAAATGCAAATCAAACTGTAACACAAGACTATCACATACCCACTATTATGGCTAAAATGATGGAGATTTAATGTTTTTTAGAATTTCTTGAGTTCTGTATTTACATAATTTTCCCCTCCCTTCCATCACTCCAGAACACACACACACACACACACACACACACACACACACACACACACGCACACGCACACGCACACACGCGTGCACCAGGTATAGGGAAGTGGCTCAGTGGGTAACAGTGCTTACTGCACAAGCATGAAGACCTGAGTTCAGATCTCAGCATGAACAACAGAAACACAAGAAGCCAAGCTCCCCGACATGTACCCCATTGCTGGGGGCGGGGGGGGGGGCAGAGTGAAAAAAGACAACAGAGGTAAGCAAATCACTAGATCTTGTTGGTCACCTGCCTAGCCGAAATAGTGGACTCCAGGTTTGGTGAGAGACCCTGTCTCAATGAACTAAGATGGAGAGACAAAGGAGGATGAGGATGCTCTGAGTGCACACATGGGCACTGGTACCTGCAGTTACATATATACCATATATATATGCATGCACACAATAAACAATAATTCCATGCCAGGCTTCACATATGAGAGATAACATGCAGTTCTTGTCTTTATGGACTTGGGTTGCCTCACATAATATGTTTTCCAGTTCCATCCATTTTCCTATAAATTTCATTTTTATTCATAGATGAAAAAAATATGCAGTTATATAAAAAATAGATATTTTTAAAAAATAAAGTCTTTAAAGAGACAGTAAAGGTAATATAAAAAATAAACCATGTAAAGATGGATATTACACAGAAAATCTGGATTGTGTTGTCTTTGGGAATTTTAACTGCAGAAAGACATTTGATTGTAAAAGCTGTTGAGTTAAGCCAATATGTATATTTTAAAGATACTTGGACTTCAAAATTTGGATCTAAAGATATGTTGCTTTGGAAAGGAGGCTCTGCTTTTGTTTCCACAGAAAGCAAGAGGCTATGGATTTGTTCCAGATTAAGATACATCAGGTTTGACCAGCCAAGACCCCCTGAAAGGTCTCCGATGACACTATGGCCCAGATGATCCAACATCCAGAATAGTTTCAAGGCAACTGGCTCAGAGAATACAGCCTTATGGACTACTCCATAATTCTAAAATTTTCTTTATGTCCCCATAAGAATACAGCGCCCTCATCCAGCAGGAAGTAGTATGAGAAGCTACGCCCAAATTCCCAAATATACCAAACTGGCTTTGGAGATGGAATTGGCTCACTCCTTCTCTAAACCCAAGCATATTGGAAAAAAAAAAAGGTTGAGAGATTCTTTTGTGCCATATCAGAAGAGCCCTCTGGTGTGGGACAGAGAAAACCCAAAATTTTTATTTAAAACAGGTTTATTATAAATGTAATCTCTTTCTAAAGAAAAAAGGGGACAGTATAGATAATGACAGGGTGAAAGGGTAGATTATTAAACCTACTTTTAAAGAGCAACTTGTTTAAAATGTTTTACATTGGTATAGATTTTAGTTTATTGATACAAATTTTAAGTTGGTTTTGTTCTAATATATATATATATATATATAATTTATACTCTTGTTTAAGATATTATGTTTATGTAACTCATTTAAATTGTAATGGATAACTAAGAAATACAGATTAATAATTAGTCTTCTATGATAGTCAAACTTATATTCATGTTGTTTTCTAGGTATATATAGATATAATTCAATTGGGTAGGTAATCTTCAAACACTTCAAAGACCTACAGAATATGGCACTTAAAATATTTTTTAAAATTTAGTCTTTCTGGACATTGAGACATGTCTTCTCCTAGCAGCACCGATTTACTTCAGAGAGGAGGATGGGCATCGAAGACACTCTATATGGAGTTTATCTTCTTCTTGGCAAAAATAGCCATTTGGGCAAGAAACTGTTCTTGCCTGGACTGCTTGATTGACTAGACATGCAGGACCCATAGGAAGGTGACCACTAAACTTTGCTTGGCAAAATGGTCCTTAAGGTTCCTTCTTCACAGAGGAAACTGCCAGACATTCTACAGGACACAGAAAAAAGTGACTGAGAGACTCTAGGCCTGTGGGCTGAAAACAGATGCCCCAACTTTACAGAAGAACTTTGGATGACTGTCCAGGCTGCCAGCTGTCTCTGTCTACTCTTGCAAAACTCCCGAAAGTTGCTTGCATCCTTCTCCCGTTTCTCAGATAATATTATATCCTTCTGAGGTCTTTGATGTAGTTAAAGACTAGATAGTTATAATTTCCTTAGTTATGATAAAAGATAAGTTAAATATAAAACTTTAGACTCACAAATATAGGATAGATAGGATGTCTTCTTTAATTCTGCCAAATACAAATAGACTAGATATTATAAATAGACTAGATATTGTAACTCTAATTCTTGTTTTGTTATATGTAATTTTACTATGTTAAAGTTAAAATCTTCCTTTTTGAAAAACAGAAAAGGGGAAGTGCTGTGGGATGTCCTGTATGCTGTGAATATATGTTGCTATGATTGATTGATAAATAAAATGCTAATTGGCCAGTAGCCAGGCAGGAAGGATAGTGTAGGCGGGACAAGGAGAGAGGAGAAGGCTGGGTAGAAGAAGGCTGAGTCAGGAGACGCTGCCAGCCACCATGAGGAGAAGCATGACGTAAGATACCGGTAAGCCATAAGCCACTTGGCAAGTTATAGATTAATAGCAATGGTTAAGATATAAGAACAGATAGCAAGAAGCCTTCCATGGCCATACAGTTTATAAGTAATATAAGTCTCTGTGTGTTTACTTGGGGGGACGCTCGTGGGAAAGATTTGTCCCGACTGCTGGCGAACCAGGACACAGGAAAACTTCAGCTACAAATGTACCACATTTTCACTATCCACCGGCTGACGGTCATCTAAGCTGACTGCATTTCCTTGCTGTTACTGAAAAGAGCTGCAATAAACATGGATGTGCAAGTGTCTCTGTTAGAATAAGGACTCCTTTGGGTTTATTTTGATTTTTTTTAGTGTATATCCATTGTTTAAAGGAATGGGCTTCATAATGACATTTGTTTTGTTACTTCCTCTAATTTCAATGTGTCCTAAGTATGTTTGCCAAAGTGATATTACAGTATACATGTTAGACATGTTAACTTTGAGGTTCCTAGAAATAAAGAATTTGGCTATCAGCAGAGAAATGGATCTTAGAGATGTAAATTTATGAGTCATTGATATGATTATTGAGACTGGAGTAAGTATAGAAATTAAAGACTATAGAATACCAACTTCTAAAGGAGACAGGCAAAAATCAGGCTACAAAAAAGGGAAACAAGGAATGAAGGAAAGGGAAGAACCAAGGCTGGCGATTTCAGGAGGGGCAGTTTATGGGGTTAGATGTGGCTCGTACAGTCAGACTTTAAATCATTTGAAGTGGATGGTTACCGCTGCTGAAATGTCACAGGGCAGTAAGCACTGCAACATAGTGGACTGTGCGAAACAGAGGCAAGGGCATGAACAAGCACTCCCACACCAATGCTTTCTGTTCTTCGTACATATGAGACAGCATGCTTCCTTTCCAATAAATCCCTTTTCTACAAAAACACACAAAATTGCCACAGGACCTATAGCTAGGAGAGATTTGGGCAAATTACTTGAATTCCTAGTAAGAAGTGGGTAGGGGAGGGTAGATGGCCATCCCAAGGCATCAAGCCTAATATGGAACATGTTCCAGAACCTAACAGTTCCTATCTAATATTAAGTTAGTTACCTTGCAAATGGAATGTGTTCTATCAGTCTTTAGTACTTATTTTCTAATTTAAAATGTCAATGTCTTTTTTACCACTGGATTTTACAATATAAAACACAATGGTGAGCAGTCTACAAGCTGTTTTGATGAGTTCTATCAAAATGAGTCTCTGCATTCAGACAAAACAAGGACAAATTTGTGTGCCCAAAACCTGTTTGAAGTGTTTGCAATGTGCTTTTCTCTTGAGCTCTTAAACTTTATGTAGAGACACTTCACTTAAAATCAAGTTTGTTCTTGCATGTCTTAGCCAACAATAAAACTTTTGTGCTGGGCGGTGGTGGCGCACGCCTTTAATCCCAGCACTCGGGAGGCAGAGGCCAGCCTGGGCTACCAAGTGAGTTCCAGGAAAGGCGCAAAGCTACACAGAGAAACCCTGTCTCGAAAAAAAAAAAAAAAAACTTTTGTGAAGAAAATTCTAGCCCAGCGATGGTGGCACACGCCTTTAAATCCCAGCACTCGGGAGGCAGAGGCAGGGTGAATTCGAGGCCAGCCTGGTCTACAAGAGCAAAGTCCAGGATGGCCAGGGCTACACAGAGAAACCCTGTCTTGAAAAACAAAAACAACAACAAAATAGAAAATTCTAAGAAGAAATATGATCGTTGAAAAGAACACAAAGTAATATCTTTTTTAAAATTAGAAATAATTTGTTTTATTCTTTCAAGTTAGCTGAGAATGTTTTTAAGACTTAGAAATGTGACATTTTATAATAATATGAGATTTAATTTCGTAACTTTTATCTAAGAAACAAAGAGGTACAGTTGTAATGTATCAATTACTCTTATCCTGCTATATTCTTTATATCCCCACAAGTTTCTCTTAAAAAACCAAATAAAATGAAAATTATGAGGAATTCATGTCCGTTTTCATCTCCCCACGTTTGGTAATGTCTCTTTTGACTTCCACTCATACAGAAGTCACATTCACGACCTCCCAGGCCTCTGTGCTCAGCTCCTCCCCAGTGTAAGAACATGTCATATGTCAGAAAATCCTTGTGGGTCACACCCTTTGTTTTGGAAAGTATTTCCCCATCAGAAGAATGTGTATAATATCAAATAAATACATAAAACAAACCACTTTTCTCTTTTATATAGCTTTGTTCACAACTAACACATTTCCCCCTTTATCACAGGTACCAGAGATTTGAAAAGGCCTTTCTCTTAGCTGTTGACATCGGTGCTCGTGACCTGTTTATGGTAAGTCATTCCCAGAGATGATGTTTTGGGCCTTCAGTTCTAAGGCTGAGTAAGTTGTCAGCCTTTGTGACCATTCAAAGGGATTAGTGTCATTTGTGGCCTTAGACACATGGAGGGAAGGCATTGTTAATTCCACCGTGGCTCGCAGCACTGGCTTCGTGAAGGTGGTCATAGCTATCTAGTATCTTTTGACTTTGTGACATTTTCCTTGCCAGGGCCAAAGGATCTTTTATGTTTTCAAAGCATTTATAATTCTTGAACTTTTCTCCCCATGAACCTTGATGTGCAGGATTGACACCTTTCCGTCTATTAAGTTTAAATGTCTTTCTAATCCATGCTTTGAGCAAGCTTGCAGCTACAGAAGCCAGGCAACAGGAGGAAATGTGTCCCAGAGATCTGGACATACTGTTGGTCCCTCAGCTTCAGTGAGAAGTAAGAAATCACGAATGCTTTACTTGAGTTTTGGCAGAACTAGAGAGAAAAGTGGATCTACAGGTGGTGAGTCCGCCACACTCCTGGCCTGCTGTTTGTCACTTGCCCCGGGGTGACATTGCCCAGTTTCTTACAGACCCTGTGCCCACTGTCAGGTTCCTGTCTGTCTGTTGGTTTTTCAGATTGTAACTTAGTTACACTTCTCTCTTCCTTTTCATCCCTCCAAACCCTCCGATGTCCCTCCCACATCCCCACCCCCTGCACCCTGCTTCCGGTCTTATGAGAACTTTCACCCCGTGAGGTCAGATGAACGAAGTGGCAATTCCATTGTTATCAATGAAACAGTAAGACAAAGGTTTTTACTGTTCTTTTACACCATGAAGATACTGTCTAAGTGTTGTTGTTTCCTTAGGTCATTTGTGTTTCAAGTGAATCTGGTATTAAAATTCTGAATTACAGATGACAAAATTTGAATTTCATATTTTCAAATCAATTGTACATACATTAATCATGAAAAAATAGTAATTGCTTTTGAAAGGCTAACCACTGTCTTTTCCATCTTCATTTCACTCTCCACTTGGGCAGGCATGTCAGTATATTGACAGGTTACCAGTTTCACCACAGTCTGCTGCGGACAGCACGATGTCAGAGCTCTGATTCCCACCTGACTGACCTTTCTTCTCTCTGTCTTCCCAACTCTTCCGCTTAGTATTCCAGTGGAGGTATATCGCCCTCCACGCTCCCCTTCCTCTCCCATTCCTCTACTCCTTCCCACTCCTCTTCCTCCTCCTTCTACAGGGTCTCAGTATGTAGCTCTGGCTGGCCTAGAACTCACTCTCACTCTAGACCATCTCAGTGCTGAGATTAAAGGCATTGGCCACCAGGCCTGGCCCATATTTCTTGTTTTGTACTGAGAGTTCCATTGGAAGGGGGGGGCAGGTAAGAACTATGATTAGAATTGTGATGTTTTTTGCTGGGCAAAATTTCTCTAAGAATATTGTATTCTGTAGTTTATTCCTTTATTAATTAATAAATATAATTATCAAAACCACCTTCTAAACTATTTTTGTATTTATTTCAGCATTCTAATCTGTTTAACCCAGTACGAATTTAGAGAAAGTCTTTGTGTTCCTTCAAATCTCCTTAATCCAAGAGATTTTCTACTGATGGGTTAAAATAGAGGAGAGGCTGACTAGACTCAGTTTGGAAAAGTACAGACGTTATTCGGAGTGCACATCTTCACTCCTCATCTAAGACATCGCCTTTAGCCAAGGTCTATTTTAAGGGATCTCAAAATACAAAGTGTTGAGGCCTCAGAGCTCTGTTTAAGTTTATGAAAGTACTGTGTACTTTTTGTACATTTGAGAGTTGATGTTGAAATTATCTGAAAGAATTTATCATGTTTTCGTATAGATTGATTCTTAGTGTTTAAATTTCATCTGGCCAGAGGTTCATAGCCTATATTCTAAGAAATATTACCTCTTTTGAAAAATGAAAGTTTATAAAATAAGCAGGATTAGCTCTACTTGCAAAGGATTTATTATCTTTAAGCCATCTCTTCCTTAAAGATTAAAAATAATACCAAAGAGACCGCAAAAAAAGAAATCTCTCTGGCTGAGGACATAGCTCAGTTGGCAACGTGTTTGTCGTGCATGCTCAAGGTCCTGGTTTGATCTCCACAACTCATAAACAAGGTGCGGTGGCACACTCCTGTAATCCCATGACTTGTGAGGTAGAGGCAGGAGGACCAGAAGTCAAGGTCATCCTTGGTTACAAAGCAATGTTGAGGCCCACATGGGCTCCATGAGACTGTCTCAGAGCCACAACAGCAACAACAACAAAAACACCACACAAAGGATCAGCTAACCTGAAAATAATGCTTTTCACGTTAGCGTCTGGTGGTGATGAACAGATCACGGTATATGACATGACAAGAAAGGTGATGTGGCTGGAACCTGGTGACTGAGACTAGAGAGGCCCAGTGTGAGCTAAGGGTTAGACTTTGTCTTTAAAGCTGTAGGAACTTGATGAAGTGTTTGAATCAGAAGAGTGATACAATCATAATTTTGATCAGGAGTCTGAAAGCCTTTTCTGGAAAGGACTAGGTAGTAAATATTTCACTTTGCAAGCCTTACAGCTAGTCAACACTACTATCATACAGTGAAGGCAGCTGTCACGGTGTACAAACAGTGAGTGTGGGTGTGTTCCAGTAAAACTTCATTTACAACAATTTGAATATAATACAAATTTCAAGTGTCACACAAAAAAACCCTGTGATTACACACACACACATACACACCGAGTGCTTTAAACTAGAAGAGACATCTTTAGTAACATCTGGCTGCATTCCATCTTTTTCCTACACCTCATTTCTGAGGAGACCTGAGGCTGTGGAGAATAAGAGGGAAGCCAGCTTTTAGGGTAAAGGGTTAGAGTAGAAGAGGCAGGTCATTCAGGTCTATCTCCACACCAGTGCCCTCAGATTGACTTTTTTTTTTTTTTTTTTTGGTTTTTCGAGACAGGGTTTCTCTGTATAGCTTTGCGCCTTTCCTGGAACTCACTTGGTAGCCCAGGCTGGCCTCGAACTCACAGAGATCCGCCTGGCTCTGCCTCCCGAGTGCTGGGATTAAAGGCGTGCGCCACCACCGCCCGGCTCAGATTGACTTTTTAAAAACAATATTCAGGACCGTTTATTCAATTCCCAACTCAGCTATTGGCTGTGTGGGTTTTATGTAGTTTACCTAACACTGTTTGCCTACATTTTATTGTTTGTAAAATTGTAACAAGGCATAAATTGCCAAAGTATGGAATAAGTTAACATATTTGAAGTGCCTGGCATACTATAATGACTTAGTAACTAGAGTTTCTAATGTTTTTCCTATTACTCACATTTCAAATCTTTGTACAGTAATTTTAAGGTGTGTGTGTATGTGTGTGTGTGTGTGTGTGTGTGTGTGTGTGTGTGTGTAAGATTAGTAATTCTGGGCTCTAGACACTTTTGAAATTTGTATGTTTTTAAAAATGTCTCTACTTGATAGCTTAGAATCATTTAACACAGCCTTGTTTCATAGTCTGTTCTCTTAACCACAATGTCTTAGAAAATAGATTGATTTGTGTACTTGAATTAATCTACAGTCATAGTAGTATTTGAAACCACTGCAGAAAGTTTCAGTTAAGTTGTTTTGATGTTCCAGCATTCTTTCTTGTTGTTGTTGTTTGTTTGTATGTTTTTTCGAGACAGGGTCTCCCTGTGTAGTTTTGGTACCTGTCCTGGATCTTGCTTTGTAGACCAGGCTGGCCTCAAACTCACAGAGATCTGCCTCGCTCTGCTGGGATTAAAGGCATGTGCCACCACTGCTGGCCTCCAGCATTCTTCTTAACAAAGAGTGAATATGCTGATATATAAAAAGTAACCAGTAAAGAGTAAAATACCAGAACTAAAACCCAGAAACCACAACAAGGCATTTTTAAAAAAATCAAAATTATAAATAATCCATAAGCACAGAAAAATATTCAAGGTCAGTAGTAGTGAAAACGTGGACTAGGGTTCTCAAAGCAGTTCAGGTAGCAGTGAGCACCAGTAAGCTTTTCTTGAGATTCTTGTCAGAAAATATATGACTATAGATGGACAAATACTTTTTATGGACTTTCTTTTGTCTTGCATTGTTCCATAGTTCTGACTTTGTGCCAGGATCATGTAGCTTTCTTTGTAGTGGACTTATAGTTTGTTTTGGAATTGGGCTGCTTTGTATATCTGAGATCCTTGGAGATTGCATATGAATCTTAAGATGCATTTTTCTGGTTTTTCACAGGCATATCATTGAAGCTTTGATAGAATTGCATTGATCGCTTTAGGTATGACTGACATCTTTTTTGTAGTTATTTTTTTTAAGTTTCCCTGCATGTGTATGCTGCATATTGAGACCCTTTCCCACCCCTTTCCCTCTTCTTTTTTTCTCCACAATTCATTCCTACTTTCATATCATATATACATACAAGACTTTGTGTATGTATGATATGAAAGTAGGAATGAAATTGTGGAGAAAAAAATCTCAGAACCACAAATGAGAGAAAACATAATTTATCTTTCTGAAATAGGCATAATTCAATTGGCATATCTGTTTTCCTGAAAACAATATGACTTCTTTCTACATGGTCTTGAAGGCTGATGATGCTTTCTGCTATGTTATGTTTTTGTTGTTGTTTTGTTTGTTTGTTTGTTTGTTTGATTCATTTCAAAAATTTCTGTCTGGCGCTTTTTCAGTGTCTGAATTTCTTTATGGGATTTTTCCCTGATGTTTTAAAATTTTTCTCCCACATTACTGATTCTGTCATCTTCTTTAGTAATTTTCTCATCTAGGTCCTCAATTAATTTCATACCTTTCTTCTTTAGGTTTCAGATTGGTTCCCTTCTTGTTCTTTTGATTCCTCTCTCTGGTCATTGATCCTCTTGAATGTGGAGGACTCCAGCGTCTTTGGCACTTCAGTTCTCTTCCCACTTCTGTTCTCCATTATTGAGACGTTGTCAGCCTAGGAGGGTCTCAGTGGAATGCTGGCTCATGTTTTTC